TAGCTTTTATTAATCTTCTAATGTTTTTATTTTGTTCTAGAATTATGATTGGTTTCAAGAGAGTAGCAAACAGGTTATGATCAGAGTTGAGTATAATTGCTATCCAGATATATTTGGTTAATGCCTGCTGTTTATTTCAAAAACAAAATGTTCCATTAAGAAAAATCAATGATAATGGTTGGACTTTATTATCAAGAAATTATACCTGTTATGTAAACCTTGCTAATTATAAGTGCTTGGATTCATTTGGGTGATATAACAGATGAAAAAGGCCATTTATTAGGAGAAGTACTTGGCGTTTGTACCAGCATAATAAAACTAAAATAATAAAACACAACCCAAGGAAAGAAAAAAATGTTAATGAGGAATGGAATTTGCCCAGGAATGAATTATACCAGAAGACAGCATGGAGTGTGAGATTAACACTGAGTGCTTCATCCTGGATATCAATTTCCTATGACACCTCAAACAGCCTGTCCTTGTCTTCTCCTCCTTCCACTTTACTTCTTACTTTTTCTGTCTGAGCTCATGCATGTACATGCTTCAGCTTCTGTTAACTCCTAAGTCTTTGTAAGTTCAGCGCTGACCTCTTGCCCATGGTTCAGTCTGCCCTCTGGCCATCTCTGCCCGGATGTCTCCTAGGAACCTGAACTCTTCGTGTTCAAATAGAGTTTATCTCTCATCCTCTCCTTGAATATCACAGTGACAGCCCTCACTCCTCCCTCCCTCACACCCATATCCAATCAGCCACACCTTTTTGTTTCCAGTTAGAAATTTCTCTCTCAAATCTATATTCTACATTTGCTCCCACTCCTACCACCTTAGTCTGGGCCATCATCACCTTTTGTTTTAATGACTGTAACCTATACATCTAACCAGCAGGCTTATAAGATGTAGTCACTAAAGCAATTTTGTTTTTGTCTTCTATAGTCGTTTATTTTAAAATTGTTCTCTCAACTTTTTCAAATATTTCAAATCAGCAGAAAAGTTGAAATAACAAAACAATAAACACATATGTAAATTTGACCTTCTACATTCATCAGTTGCTAACACTTTGTGAGCTTTCTTTCTCTGTGTGAATTTCTCGCTTTCTCTCGCTTTCCACCACCAGCATCAACCAACAGACATGTGAACACGCCAGATGATTCCACTCCTCAGCTGTTGAGTAACCCTCAGTCTTTGAGGCTTCCTCCTTGAATACACAGCTCTCAGAGGGCAAAGACAAGCCCTCTCTCTGTGCTCTGTTCAAATTTTTGACCCACAGAATCTGTAAGCATAATAAAATGGCTGTTCTATACCATTGAGTTTTAGGGTGTTTGCTATGCAGCAGTAGCAACTGGAACAGCATATAACACTTTTTTTCTGGTTTGATAACAACTCCGTGATTTTTGATAATCTAAAAATGTTTTATAAATGAATCAATTTGAAGACATTTTCTTTATCCTATATCATCAAGGTTGTAATCTGAGAAATATCTCTGTGAAGTCCTTTAATTCAAGCATGCCTGGGTAGTCAGAAGAGCCTGCCTGTCAGGTAATTTCCCTAACAGTCTTTGCATGGAAGACCAACAAACCTTTTGAGAAAGAACTTAACCTGAGCAAAGAGACTCTCTGCTCAAGAAGTTGGTGCCAGGATAATGGTCTAATGTTCCAGGGCTGGTCAACTTTGAGAATAGTTCAGTACCATCACTTGACTTGCCTTCCAGCCCAGCCACCATAGACCTATCCCTGAATCCCACAGAGAGAG